CCAAAGTCTAGAATGTCTATATTATAGATTTACAAGAAGTCTGACATTCTAAGATTCTAAGTTGTCAACTAGGAACCCCATTTTCTATCAGGCCAAATGAGAATCAAACCTTTCCTAACATGCCAAAGGGTTAACAAGGAATTCAGCATTCTAGAATGACACACAGAATTACAATTATTCCAAATAATGGACGAGACCCAAAGTTCCAAATGTCAACCCTAACACTCACAATGCCAAACCAGAAAGCCCACATGGAAGACTATCAACTTTGGCCTCAGCATTCTGTAATGGCAAGCACAAATCCTCCAGAATGCTACTTCCCTGGCCCCTCAGAGCTCTGTGGATGGCCGCTCTACAGCAGGCTCAGTGTTCTCATTGGATTCAGGTACTCGGAAGGAAACGTAGGGACAGGTCTTGGTGTTGAGGCAGACCAGCTTCTTCAGTGTGGCTGTATTGACAATGTTGAAGCCAACCTTGCCACCAAATGTGCTTGGCTTCCAGTACTCCGGAGAACAGATGGGATTTCCTAGAAGACCCTTAAGAGAAAAGGGAGCACCAATCTCGATCATACTCTCCCCAAAGATAGAGTTTGGTTGGCACTTTTCGAGAAGCAACCCTGGGTAGAACTCCAAGGCATCGATGTCTCCATATAACTCCTCCAACTCAGCTGCCATCTCTTTCTCTCCTATAAGAGGGAGAAGCTAGAGTCAGAGCCATGGAACCACCAAGGTCAGTCCTTGGAGGAAATCTTCTAGCTCTACCTTCTTCTGGTAATAACAGTGACTCCAAAAGAACAATTAGAACAACTGGGCAAATATCTATGGGGATGGATACTTGGGTCATGTCACGCTCTGCTTCAGTAGCTCACACTATCTGTGACAAGGGTTCCCAAGTTGACTGCCCAACATCTGAGGATTTGGTATTTTAATCAGCTTCCTAAGTGATTCTTATGCAGTTGGCCTACAAATGGGCCCTTAGGAGCCACTAGATAGAATACACCCCCAAATCTTTAGCAGGAAATACAAGACTTTACTTAGTTTTGTTCCAATCTCCCACTAGTTTATCTTCCCAAATAGACACATACTTGCCAAACGCTGTGCTTTAGTATTTTATGTTTCTCTACTTAAAATACTATCCCCCTCTATTCTCCCACTGGGAAATTCCTATTGATCCTTCAAGCCTAGAGGAAAAATCATCTTCTCTCCCCAAGCAGTGATATTTGCCGTCTCTCACCATCCATGTAGAAGCATGGTGCTCCCACACCCATTACAACGCTCACAGCCATGGTGCTTCCATGGGCTTTGTCCCATCCTGTCTCCTTGATGTGTCCCTCACTTTACTGTGAGCCCCTCAAGGCAGGGACTATGTCTAGGCAACACCTCTCACCTGTGAGTTCCTGGAAGGAGGTGTAGGGCTTCATGCCAAACCTCTTACGGTATTCATTGAAAGGCTGCAGTCGCAACTCTCGAGACTCCTTGATGGTCTCCACAGCCACATGCAGGACATGGTGGTCCATGTTCCTACCCCCACCAATCTGCCAAGAGATAAACACAGCTGTGGTTTGAGGACCAGGCCAGACTACCCTGGACACTATACAAGGTCCTAGCAAAGAACATCAAACCAGGAGACGTTTCTGAGCTAGGACTGAGAGTATGGTGCAGCTGAGCAGACATGATACTGGGAATCTGGCCCTAGGTCTGTCACTGTCATGCTGTCTCAGGGACCCTATCTGAGTCTCAGCTTTCTCATCTTTGAAGTATAGAGTGAGCTAGGAGGTCCTCTTTAGTGGTTCATCAGCTCTCACCATTCCCTAGTCCTTTGAATTGCACCAATGGGTATAATTCTCTGTGAAGGAAGAAAATAATAATAATAAGGTTCAAGGACCAGCATGTGGCATGGTGGTTAAGGTGCTAGATCCCGCATGGCCAACTGTAAAGTTCAAGTACCAGACCCCATGGCTTAAAAAACACACCAGGAACATGTGCATGCATACCAAAATACTGAGAGATAAATGGAGAAGGGATTGTGGCATGGCCATCCCCCCAAGGGGTAATTTATCACTCTTCTTCCCTCACTGTCTCTCTATGGCAAGTGCACATGTCCTATGGCAAAAATCTAAAAAATAGAAATTAATATCTTAGAATAAAAAGAATAGAAATTAATAAAATAGGTTCAAAACCCAGGTAACCTAGTGAGATAAAATAATCCAGAAAAATATATTGATTCATAACAGATCAGGAGCATTGACCTAAAGAAAGTTCTATTGCTCAGGGGGAAATAATAAAGTTAAAGCTTAAACAAGAGTTCTATTTCTACAGAACAAGTAAATTGGGTAGGAAAAAAGAAAAAAATATAGTTGGATAAAATCAGATACCTTTGAGTAAAGTAAGCAGAAACTGGTGACAATCCCAGCTCAACCATTTACAACCCATGAGGCTATGGTAGGCTGAATTAGATCTGTTCCCATCACCCTCCTTTCCTACACACTCCCTCCAAGAAAAAGATGTATTGAAGTTCCAGCCCCTGACACCCTAAAATGTGACCGTATTTGGAAACAGGGCCTTTGAAGTTGTAATCAAGTTAAGATGAGGTCATACTCTATTAGGGCGGTCCTAATCCAATAACTGGTGTCCTTAAAAGATGAGAAATCAGGGCCAGCCCTGTAGCCTAGTGGTTAAGGGAGCTGGATCCCATATGGCTGATTGTGGTTAGAATCTCAGCCCTGGCAGCTTAAAAACATGCTATGCACATGTGCATCTATGTCTCAAATCCCAACAGGACTGAGAAATGGAGGAGAAGGGATTGTGACATGACCACACTTCATCAGGGGGTGCCTTTCTTATACCTGCCAACCTCTCACTCACTCCCATCTCTCCCTCTGGCAAGGACGTACGCCCTTTGGCAATTAAAAAGGAAAAAGAAAATAAAGATATGAAATAGAGACATAGGGACGACATCTCGTTCCAATGGAGGCAGAGCTGGAGTGAGGCATCTATGAGCCAAGAAGAGCCGAGGATTGGCAGCAACACCAGCTCAGAGAAGGCAAGGAACAGGCTATCCCCTACAGTCTGCAGAGAGAGCACAGCCCTGTGGATGCCTTGATTTCAGATGGCAGTCCCCTAGAACTGTGAAAGAGTACATGTCTGGGGTTAGTTTGTTTGTTTATTTTTGCTGGAGGTCATGTGTGCTCGCCAGAGAGAGACAGAGAGAGAAAGAGAATGAGAAAATACCTCCCATGGGGGACAGTCACACTGCAATGCCTCCTCTCTAGTCTTTTCTTGGGATTTTAGGCATGCATGCACATGTGCCTGGCATGATTTTCAAGCCACTGAGTCCAGGACTCAAGCTATGTAGTTGGTCATGTGGGATCTGGTCACCTTAGCCATCATATCACCAGCTGGCCTCGTACCTGTTATTTTAAGCCATCCAGTTTGTAGTACTTTATCGGCAGGTTCATGCAGGGGCCTTGGACAGTCACTTGAGCTAAGTCTGGGTCCTTATATGTAAAAATAGGGAAGGTAAGAGCATCCACCTGATATGGTTGTGATGAGATACCGTATGCAAATTTACCACAGCATCGGTCACATAGTCACCCCCGAGAGGGCAGTTACGCATGATGATTAGTGGGGAAACCCTGTGTTATCACTGCTCACATCCTTTTTAATATCCTGAGAGTCAGGCCGGCAGGTGGTATAGTTTTTAAAGCACTGGACTCCCATGTGGCCAACTGTAGTTCGAGTCTTGGATAAGGCAGCTTGAAAGTCACACTGGGAGTATGTGTGTACGTGCCCAAAATCCCAAGAGGAGAACAAAGAAGAAGGGATTGTGGTATGGTCATCCCTGGGGGAGTAAGTGGGGGATTATTTCTCTCTCTCTCTCTCTCTGGAGAGTGCACCTCTCTATGGCAAAAATCTCTCTCTAAAAAAAAAAAATTTAAAGGACCAGCAAATGACTTAATGGTTACAACGCTGGACTACCACATAGTCAACTGCAGTTCGAGTCCTAGACCTGGAGGCTTAAAACTCACACTGTGCACTTTTGAGTATGTTCTCAAAATCTGGAGAGGAGAATAGAGGAGGACTGTGGTGTGGCTATCCCCATTTCTCACTTTCTGTCTCTCTATCTCTCTCTGTCTCTGTGGTAAGTGCATGCACCCTATAGCAAAAATCTCCCTCTAAAAAATTAAAAAAAAAAAAATCCCGAATCAACACCCTTCTGTCACCCCTCTGCCCTGTGCCAGGTGCAGCCATGACGCTTTTCACACACATCATTGTGGCCCTCTTTGGCAATGTTCTGGAAACCACACTGCTCCACACAAAGGCTAGTGTCTGTTTATGCCTGTGCCCTGCAGAAAACAGAGGCCACAAACCAGACAGCAGCTGCCCACTAGTGACAGCTTATGCTAATTTCAGTCAAATTACCAGAAGGAACCCTAAATCCAACTTCATGATGGGGCAGAGGAACAAAGATAAGAGCAAAGCAGAGGGTTGGGGATAGGAACGTGGGAGTCAGAGAGCAAAGGTCAAAGAACCAGGAGCTTCCAGATCTGGGGAAGGGCAGATTGAAGAGAGGGTTGGGTAGGAATCACAGGGAAGAGGGTGGATCCATTTGCTAGGGCTGCCATGACAAAATATACAGACTGGGTGGCTTACCCTACAGAAATCTACCTCCTCACAGCTCTGGAGGCTGCCAGTCCCAGATCTAGCTGTCTGTAGGGCTGGTCCTCCTGAGGCTTCTCTTCTCAGCTTGCAATTGGCTGCCTTCCCCCGTGTCTTTGTCTCACCTTCCCTCTGTGCATGCCCCCTAATCTCCTCTTAAGTATAAGGACACCACCCATGTTAGGTTAGGGCCTTCAGCCTCAATTCTCTTTCTAATGACCTTATCTCCAAGGGCAGTCACATTCTGAGGAAGCGGGGATTAGGACTCCAACACATGAACTCTGCAGGAGAGGATCACAGAGGCTTGTGCAGGCATGCTCTCACACATGCCATGCCCTTAATGTCCTCCTATTGCTCAGATTGTATGCCAGGTGACACCCAGGCATTTTGTCCATGTGGTCCCCTCTACTCGAACACAATCATCCCCTGCCACTAACATCACCTCTTCCCTGGGAAATCCCCATCCATCCTTCGGATCTCTTCTCGGACCTTACTGCCTTATCCCTAACCCCCAATTCTGGGTCAGAAGCCCCTTTCTGACTTTCCTGAGTACTGTGGTTCTTAACATGGTATTATCATTCTAATAACATCAGAAAAGCACTTAGCATGGTGCCTAACACATAGTAAGCATTCGAATGATGTTAGCTGTCAGATGACTGTTATCTAGGCGTGTAAGCTCCAAAAGGTCAGGGACCCCGAGCCCGCATCAGTCTTGTTCACCACTCTAGCCCCAGCACATGGAGTAATGCCTGGAATTGTTGAATGAGCAAACAGACCAGAGAATTTACAAATAATGCTCACAGCCACCCTGTAGGAGCAGAAGAAGAAGAAGCCAGAATTCGTACCTAGGTCTGTTAGCTCCCAAAGCCCAACTGCCCTCACCCACAATCATCCGAGGCTTACCCGGCCAGCAATCTGGCGAGAAAAGGCATCCACCAGGGCCTCGACCCCATAGTCCACAAGCATGGAGGTGTTGAACAAGAACTGCTCGTAGCTGTACTCTTGGGAGCCCACCTTGAAGGAGTCGGGCATGAGCGGGTGCCAGTGGTAGAGCTGATTGAACTCCATGGCAATGCGGTTGCGGTATTGGAATTGGACCCTGAAGAGCAGCTCAGGGTCGAACTTCAGCTGTAAGAAGTAGCCACTCAGCTGCTGCACATACTCCTCGATTACAATCTTGATGGTCTCCCCTGGGTGGGCAGAGTAGAAAAGGATCAGTAGAGACACATGGCTTGGAACACAGGCTAGCCCGTGAAACGTGCTTGCCCTCTGGCTCTCCATTATTGTTTCATTTTACTGGGCCACATCCACCTTGGCTCTTTATAATGGGGTGTGAAAATAGAACCCTCTGTCTCAGGTGTGGTGACTGAGGTCTCTCGTCATGCCACCATTTCCTGCACCTTCCAAAGGGAGGGTCTAAACCCAGCTAAGCAGAACCCACAAAGGAGGTGGCCAAGAATTACCTTTGTGACCCTTGAGTGACTTCTTTTCCACAGCCCATTAAAAAGGCTACAAGAGGTCAGCCAGTGGCACGGTGGTTAAGGCACTAGATTCCCACATGGCCAACCATGGTTCGAGTTTCAGACTTGGCAGCTTGAAACTCAAGCGGGGCGTGTGTGTGGAGTGCCTAAAATCCCAGAATCCCAGGAAAAGAATGGAGAAGAAGGGATTATGGCATGGTCTTTCCCCTGGGGGGCAATTTCTCACTTTCTCCCTCTCTGTCTCTCTCTGGCAAGCACACACACCCTATGGCAAAAACATTGGGGAAAAAAATAAAATGGCTAAAGACCACAAAAGATGGGTGAGTGGAGGATTTACTCAGTGAGGGCTGTCATGGTGTTGGTGCCCTCAGTGTATGAAGGGGGCTCCAAAGAGATCATTCTGAATGTTGCTGCAACAGCAAAAGAAAGACTCAGAGGATAGAAAGTTAATTTAGTCCTAAACATAGTTCAAAAAATATATTTTCATACATTCTGACATATTAGAGTTCTTATAAATAGATTTTTTCCTCTGCCCCCTCAATAGCCAGCTACCAAGCGAAAGTCAGGGGAAAAACAAATTGAACTTTCTATAACAAAATGAAAACTAGTCAAGTACTGAAAAGAAGCTGAGATTTTTGACCCATCAGTCATTAGACCAACTGGCTTTTAGAAACTGACCTGAAGCCACAGAAAATGGAATTAGCAGATTTGGACCTAGGACCAAATCTTGGCTTCACCATTTCTAACCACTCAAGCTTGGGCCAAGTTGCTTAATCTCTCTGAACTTCATGTTCCTTAACCGTAAAATGTTTATTATAATAATATCAGTATAATAATATCTATAGGGTTGCATTATGATCCTTAACATGTTCTTATCATTCTGATAACATCAGAAAAGCATTTCACATGTGTGCACTGCTGGCTCACAGCCTGGCATTCTAGGGAGTGTCAGCACATGTCAGCTAGAGGCAAGATT